TTCGAATGTGGCGCGACCTCGCCGAATCGGCGTGTGCAAGGTGCAAAGCGCGGTCTCTCGCAAGTGGCGCGATTTCGCGCCTGTGGCCGCATTTCGTGACCAGCGATATGTGCGCAATCCGCCCGTTTACGGGAAGTTGCAGTCCGGAGTGTTTGGTTGGTTGGTTTCGCGTCGTCGGGCGCGAAAACTGGGATCTGCGCGCTGGCTGCACATTGGCTGCAGTCGGGCCGCCGCGTAGTCCGGACCCGCGAGCCAGAAGGAGGGGCTACGGACACTTTGGGCACTCGGGGTCGGATGTGCGCAGGCGGCAGAAGCTAGTCCTTAATGGGGGGACATTGGCTAACCCCCCACCTGCACACAACGAGGGCGGGCGTGCTTTGCACTTGTGCAGCGCGCCCGTGCTCGACCGACTCCGGGGGGCCTGCGTCCCAAACGGCGCGTACTCGGAATATCCATGCTGACGCCCGTTCACCAGCGAACTCAGAATTAAATTCTGGTGTGGCTGCTAAAAATTCGGCAGCTGGGGCTGCAAGTGGAAGGATTTCCCATGGGAATTTGCCCCATCGGATTTCGGTAGTTTTTCGGCCCAGCAGGAGATTCAGGTCGGCAGACTGAACAGGCTGCCCAGTTAGCGTGGGGTCGGCCAGCATCGCCATGTAGCGAGGGACGTGCGCAAGCCCTCTCGCAGATCGTCCAAATGGACACGGTCGCCTAAATGGGGCGCTCCATCCATCATGTCATTCTGTCTGTCTTTCGCATCGCACGCTTCGATGGGCAGTCTGTTTCAGCCCGGCTTCCTATGACGCCGTCTGCTGGCCTGGGTGGTGCATCCAGGCCGCAGAGGGGGATAGGAGGCGGGAGGGTCTTCTGCTCATTTCCCTGACACAGCAAGCACATCGTCTCAGCGCCGGTCACTGGCTGTGCGGCTGTCTTGCGTCCCTGTTGCCTTTGAGGCTCGAGTGTCGCAACAGTGCATTGTCCAGTTGAGTGTCTGTGCGGTTCTTTGCCTCTTCCAGAGAGCGGCATGGCGTACACTCCTGCAGACATCGTGGCAGATCTGGCCACATTGCCCGAAAGTGCTTTCGCTGGTGCGTCCGTGGACTCGCGGAACGCGTTCGTGGAGTTCGTGGCGTGCGTGGACGAGAACGCCCGGGCAAAACACGACATCCGGTTCTACACTGGTGTTGCGCGTGCCATGGCTGAGGTGGTTCAATCCGTGCACACAGAGGATTTCGCAGACGAGTTCATCCGTGACAGTCTGCGCACCGGGTTGACAGTCGGGGACAAACCCTTTTCAGATGAAGGCTGGAAGGAGTTCACACTCACACCTGCCATGATGGCTTTGGCACTTCGTGTGCAGAAGCGTTGTCAGGCCAAAGACATGAAGGAGCAGCCGGCTGCCTCTGGCACGTCCTCTGGCTTGGAGCAGGCGATGGAAAAGTTTGTCAATGCGCAAACAGCTGCTGTCACGCCGCCTGCGAAGCTCGGTCTTTTTTTTGACCTAGCCAAACGCTTGGCCAAGGTGGGCCTCGAGAACTTTCCACAAGATGGCCTGCCCTCCGAAGAGAATCTGGCGAAGTTTGAGCAGGCGGGAAAAATCGCCGCTTCCAAAGGCCGGCGGTACGTGGGCAGTGCAGACGGGGAATGCCTCCAAACGCACCACAGGCCCGAGTGGTCGCGCACGCCAGTGGTGCAGGTCGTCCCGACAATCGGCTCTCTTGAAGATAAATTGAAAGCAGTGTTGGACGAAAAGAAAGCCAGGGAAAACGAACTCAAGTTGGATTACATGGGCTTCGCTACCTTTGTCGGTCACATATTCCAATGGGGCATCAAGTGCGTGCTCATGGAAGTGTGCACTCAGACAGACTTGCTCGCGTACATTTTCAACCTCTCCCACATTACAGAGGAGCATGGCGGCGTCCGAGTGTGCTATCAGTATGACGTGATGCAGCGTCGCGCCATGGCTCGCTCTTTGGAGCGGGGCGACGAGAGCGTGTCCGACTTCTTCTGCAAGCTGGACGACGACATGGTGCGAAAGGCAGCGGACAAGGTGAAGCAGCGTGGCGAGCAACTCAACAAGTTCACTGCTAAGTCTGTTGCGTCTGGCAGCTCCAGCGCCTGCGGCAAAGGCGGCAAGGGCACCGGCAAGGCGGGGTTCCCCAAGGGCGCCGACAAGGGCGAGCCCAAGGGCAACCGGAACACGCTGTCGCCGCAGAGGCCCCCGAAGCGGCAGCGAGACGATGACACTGCGTCCTGGGGCAAGTCGAGCCAGTGGCAGGGCTGGAAGAAGCAGTACAAGAAGTGAGCTGGTCACGACAGCTCCGATAGCGACGCACCCGGGGAAGACGACAGCGAATCGGAGGTGGATGGACGCGTCCGGTTGGAGACCGGCGTTCCCGATTCTGCTGCGCGCTCCGCAGAACGTAAAGATTTCCTTTACGAGTTTTGCGCTGCGGTGCGCGATTTAAATTCTGACAAGGCCAAGTGTGCAACGATGTGCCCGGCTGATCACTTTGAGTGGGCGCTCGCGTTGCCACTTGTCGTCCCGGGCATTTGCATGCCTGTGATTTTAAAGAATGCGCTGTGCAAAGCTGCCGACATGTCGCCGGCACAACTGCATGAACACCGCGCAAGTGCTGTCTCTCATTGGGAGGAAAGGAAGCGCGTGACGGACCCACTCTGGCGGCAAACGTTTTCTCGTTTGCCTTTGCAATGCCAGAGCGTTTTAGGTCCTGAAAAGAATCTTTTCTTGTTGAGGGAGATGCTAGAATATATCAGCTGGCCAGACGCCGAGCTTGTCAATAGCTTAGCTTTCGGTTTCCCGATCGTAGGAAATTTACAGCCGAGCGGGATTCAGCCTGCCAGGGCTGCGTGTGTCTCCGCAACGACGGTGGAGGAACTCCATCAAAATTTAGATGAACGCAACGCCTGCACTTTGAACAGGGTTCGTCGTTCCATAGTGCTTGACCTAGAACTTGCAGAAGCGTTCCGCAACAAATGCTTGCAAGAAGTAGCAGAGCGTAAGGCTCACTGGATTTCGCTTTCTCGCCATCGCTGTCTTTTAACAGCCCGATTCCCTGTCGACGAAGGTTGGCAGGAACAGAGCGGCCGTAAGCGTCGCAAGGTGCGCTTGATAGACGATTTCACTGACAACGGTGTGAACAGCGCCACAGCGATCCCCGAGGAGATGCACCACGATTCGCTTGATACTTTAGTCGGCGTTGCGCGGGCGTGTGTAGGTGGCCATCCTGGCGCTACTTTCCTGTTCAGGAAAGATGATTTCAAGTCGGCTTTTAAAACGCTGCCGATTCGGAGCGAGCATCTGCAATTTGCCGTTGCAACTTGGGCTGAAGCAGAGCGCAGTGATAGAGGTTTGCAGCTTCTCTCGTGCCCGTTTGGGTCGGCTGCGTCTGTATTTGCGTGGCATCGCTTTGGCAGTGCTGTCCAGGCCCTGTTGGCTGTCGTCTTTTTGGTCGTGTACCCGCGTTTCGTGGACGATCTTTTCGGAGGCGATGTGGCCCTGGATACTGCAAACAGCGGGGCGCATGCAGGACCTAGAGGATCTGCAAATTTGGCGCGAAAGCTCGTAGTCGATTTGCTTGGGTGGAGGTTGGACGACGCAAAAGCAGTCACAGAGGCCGACCAAACAGTCGTCTTAGGAGTTGTAGCGAAAGCTTGCCCAGACGGCATTTGGTTTTGGATCGGCGAGGATAAGAAAGAAAAGTGGCTAGCTCAAATTCGTCAGGCTTTGCAGGCTAATTCGTTGTCCCCCGCAGGGGCGGCGAAGTTGGCTGGGCGTTTAAGCTGGGGTGCCACGGCAGTGTTTGGCAGGGGCGCGAGAGTATTTCTCGCGCCGCTGTTTTGGCACGGCAAATGCGGCCGCGCAGAGCTGACGCACCGGGTGCGCAGTGCACTACGGTGGTGGGAGCGATATTTGTGCTCAACCCCGTCGGCTTTTGCTAGTTTCCGGCAGCCGTGCCTTCAGCGGTGCATTCTATACACGGATGCAACTGGCGGGGGACAGCTTGCGTTTGTGCTCGTGACACCAGCCCGTCGGGTATGGGCAGCGACGGCTGTCCCGGCCGCAGCATGGTCATGGGCGTTGCCCCGACGCACGCAGGTCACGCTGTGGGAACTTCTCGCTGCGCTGTGTGGCGTGCATTTCTTCTTGCAGCAAGCCGTGGAGCACCCTGAGCTGGTGGTGTTCATTGACAACACTACCGCGTTGCAGACCCTGCTGCGCGGATGTTCTAGACAGGCCGATTTTAATGCAGTATTGGGGTCGGTCTGGTTCGAGCTGGCGCGGGCGAGTGTTCTCATGCATGCTCACTATGTGCCATCTGCGTTGAACTTGGCGGACGGCCCGACCCGTGCGAGCAAGGCCCGCGGGAGCCGCGCAACGCTCGAGAGTTTACATTTCAGACAGGTAGAATGGCCATGGCCGTCAAATCTCCCGTGGGCTGTGTGAGTGCATCGAGCGGGCTACCGAGGAAGAAAAAAATGCATGCGTTATGTGAGATTGAAGCATTTGCTGCGGATGCGTGCGTGCATGATGTTCGCCAGTGCGTTGTCCGTAGCTTTTGGCTCAGATCCAGCATTCGCGCGCTTTCGTTTTGGATGGCGCTGCGTTTCCTGAACGAGAGCAGAGAACAATGGCAGCGTCGCCATGCTGTCCCTGGCGCGCCGTCTGGAGCAGAAGGGTCCGAGAGAAATGTGCCGCATAACTCTGTTACGGAAGAGTTTCGGGCGTTGCTCGAAAGGGCGGCTCTGGCCGCGAAAAGACCTTTCCCAGCTCCTGGCGCGGGGGCCGTGGCTGAATCTCTGCAGAAAGAAGGGGCCGTGGCGCCGAGCGACTTCGGCGGATTAACCGTGGGTGAAGCGGCAGAAGTGTGGTCGGCTTTGCAAACACTGGACGCAGCCATCGTTCAATATTTTATCAAATTTTGTATGGCAGTGGCCGACCGGGAGCTTGTCCATCGGGCGGCCATAGCACATCTCAGAGGTGATCCGCGATGTGCCTTGCGCTCAAAATGCACGTCCCCTGCTCCGCCAGCCAGCGTCGCAGGCAGTCCGGCCGCGGCTGTCGAGGCTGCAGCGACCGCTTTGGCCATGATTTGTGAAGCGACAAAACTCCGCAGGCCGCCTGCTCCTTCGGTTCTGGCAGATGCCATTCGTATTCTGGGCAAGCAGGCGGCTGCGCCGCTTCCAGTGGCAGGCACGCCAACTGAGGAATTGGCACGGGCGAGAGACAACAATACTTCTAGCTTTCAGTTCGCGCAGCAGGCTTGCTGGATGGAGTTCCAAGGGTGGCGCAAGAGCGCAGGGGCGTACGCATCAGCTGTGCAATTGTGGGGCCACGCGGCGGCTCTGACAGCGCAGCCGCCGTGGCCGCCTGCTGAGGCATCGTTGTACTGTTTCGCCACGTTGTTTCGCAACGGTGCTTCTTTGTCGAAGTATTTATCGCACTTGCGGTCCGTGTTGGCTTGGCTCAAATGTGAGGCGGGCGCTCTGAGCGACACCTCGCGGTTGGTCCGTGGTGCAGAGAAATCCACAGCGCGTGGTGTTCGCCGTCCGAGGATGCGGGCTTCTGTGCAAGATACGCGCTTGTTGTATGAATGGGCTGTGGGCGCAGGCAAGCGTGACGTGGCCATGTCGTGGGCTGTGTCTCGTCATTTTACTTTACGATATAGCGAGACACTGATCATAGGCACAGGGCTGGCGCCTGTGGCGTTCAGAAAAAAGCGTGGCAAACTTTCTTGTTCGATTACGTACATGAAACGGAAGTGTTACAAAGAGCCGGTGGTAGTTACAAGGCAGTGCATTTGCGAGGTCCTCGGCCCCAGCATGTGCGGCGTGTGCGCCCTCGAGCAATTAGAGGCGCAAGTGCGTCCGCCTTTCAGCCATATCAGGTATTCCGAGTCGCTGGCGCTCCTGAAATTGGGAGCAGCCGCTGCAGGTTTGGAATCGCCAGCAGCTTGGGGTACGCATGCTTTCCGGCGGGGCTGGGCTTCGGACGCTTTAAAAGCGGGCGGCCCGACAGCTCTATTTTATTCTGGCGGTTGGCGTGGTCTCACAGCGTTTGGTTACGCGTCCGCGAGGGCCCGTGGGGGGCTCGAAGCCGGTAATTGGTTGGCGAATTATTCCAGCTCGTCAGACAGTGCTTGAGGGGGCAGCGGTTACTGTGCAAAAAGCCATCGTCGTCATCCATCTGGGCTCGCTGGTGCGCGGACAGGCTGTGCCGCGTCCGCTTGTGGGTGGTGTGCACGCTCTTGGTAGCATTGGGCTTGGTGGCGTGACCCCAAGAGCGGCGCAACCACGCAGCAGGGCACCTCTCTGTGGCACTGTTACTGCGGAGGCCGCCGAGGAGATTTTCTCAACCCTAAAGCACTTTCATGGGTGGGAAAATTGACGAAAGGGCTGGAGCTGCCCGGTCTGGGTGCTCACGTCTTGGTTGCCTCCCAGGGGGGCTGCGGACTGGCCGCCTGGTGCGGCGTGCTGCTGCTGCTGCGGCTGTTGCTGCTGCTGCTCTGCCGTCCGTCGGTCGCTGTCGTCTGTCTGTTGGTCGTGTCTGTCGTGTGTCCTGGGCCTGGCTGCCCTGTCCGGCGGCGGCGCTCTCGGCCAGGCTGCCGTGGCGGCGTTGCCGTTGGAGGCCCCTGTGTGGCCTGGGGGTTTCTTGCTCCGCGCAGTCCTGTTGGCCGCAGGTGGTGGTGGGCTCCGTGCGGCTGTGCCCGCGCTGGCCGTTTCTCCGTCTTCCGTTTTCCCCGCCCTCCCGCCCTCGGTGGAGGTGTGTGTTCTCGGTGGTCGCGTGGTTGTGATCGCGGGCTTGGTGGCGTGACCCCAAGAGCGGCGCAACCACGCAGCAGGGCACCTCGGCTTGGTGGCGTGACCCCAAGAGCGGCGCAACCACGCAGCAGGGCACCTCTCTGTGGCACTGTTACTGCGGAGGCCGCCGAGGAGATTTTCTGTGCCACTGCGCAGAAGCTGCGCCCTTGCCTTTGGGCGGGCTCCTGGAGCGCTGGGGCGTGGTCGGGGCCGGCCTGGCGGGCTTGCTCTGCTTTCCGCCTTTGTCTGGCTTGCCACCCTTCTGGCCCCCCTTGCCCTGCGATCCCGGCTTGCCTCCTTGCGAAGGCGCGTGCCCCTGCGATGACGCCGGGCCGCTCGTCTGCTTCGAGTTGGCCCGGTTGACCTCCTCGGCGCGCTGCTTGACCTTGTGCGAGGCGTCCTCCAGCACGTCACGATCCAGCCTGCACAGCAAGACCTCGACCTGGTCGTCCTGGCCCTGCTCGAGGGCTCGAAAGCCGGCCGCGCCGGCAAAAGCGACGCCCCAGGCGACCAACGCCCGCGGCCCGCAGGAGGGCGCGCCGGCCCGCCAGAGCGTCGCCCCGACGAGGCCGCGCGCGCCCAGGCCACACTGCACAGCCGTTGGCCTGCAGCGTAGCCACGCGGCTCCCACGGGAGCACTGGCCGAAATTTGCTACCCCGCCTCGGGCCCGGGCGGCAAGGGGAGCGGAGACGCCGAAAGGCAACCGAATCACCGAATCCCCGAATGGGGACAGAAGCGGCCTGTGAGAATCTTCCTCCCCAGAACCAAAGCTTAGGGATGATGCGGAGCAGGCACTTTCGGGTTGCGGTGCACGGTCGGCTCCCTCATCGGGGGGTCTGCGCCGGCGCACTGCGCACCCAGATGTCCCGAGCAACCCTGTGACGCTCAGGTGCCGCCCGCTTGCTCAGAGCGGCGTGGAGCAAGCACTTTCGGGTGGCGGTGTTTCAGTCGGCCCGCGCTCCCTCGTCTGGGGGCCCGTGCCGGCGCACTGCGCGTCCAGATGTCCGGAGCAACCCTGTGACGCTCAGGCGTCGCCCGCTCGTTCACAGCGGCGTGGAGCTAGCACTTTCGGGTGGTGGTGCACGGTCGGCTCCCTCGGCTGGGGCGCACTGCGCATCCAGATATCCCGAGCAACCCTGTGACGCTCAGATGCCGCCCGCTCGCTCAGAGCGGCGTGGAGCTGGCCCCTCTCAGGTGGCGGTGCACGGTCGGCTCCCTCATCTGGGGGTCTGCGCCAGCGCACCGCGCGCCCAGATGTGCCCCGCAACCCCGTGGCGCTCAGCTGCCGCCCGCTCGCTCAGAGCGGCGTGGAGCTAGCTTGAATTTTCGGGTGGCGGTGCGCGGTCGGATTCCTCGTCTGGGAGTCTGCGCCAGCGCACTGCGCATCCAGATGTCCCGAGCAACCCTGTGACGCTCAGGTGCCGCCCGCTCGCTCAGAGCAGCGTTGGAGCTAGCACTTTCGGGTGGCGGTGTACGGTCGGCTCCCTCGGCTGGGGGTCTGCGCCGGCGCACTGCGCACCCAGCTGTCCCGAGCAACCCTGTCACGCTCAGGCGCCGCCCGCTTGCTCAGAGCGGTGTGGAGCGAGGCCCTCTCGGGTGGCGGTGTTTCAGTCGGCCCGCGCTCCCTCGTCTGGGGGCCCGTGCCGGCGCACTGCGCATCCAGATGTCCGGCGCAGCCCTGTGGCGCTCAGGCGCCGCCCGCTCGTTCAGAGCGGCGTGGAGCTAGCACTTTCGGGTGGTGGTGTACGGTCGGCTCCCTCGGCTGGGGGTCTGTGCCGGCGCACTGCGCATCCAAACATCCCGAGCAACCCTGTGACGCTCAGGTGCCGCCCGCTCGCTCAGAGCGGCGTGGAGCTAGCACTTTCGGGTGGCGGTGCACGGTCGGCCCCCTCGTCTGGGGGTCTGCGCCAGCGCACCCCGTACCTAGATGTGCCCAGCAACCCTGTGGCGCTCAGGCGCCGCCCGCTCGCTCAGAGCGGCGCGGGGCTAGCTTGCATTTTCGGGCGGCGGTGCACGGTCGGATTCCTCGTCTGGGGGTCTGCGCCGGCGCACTGCGCATCCAGATGTCCCAAGCAACCCTGTGACGCTCAGGTGCCGCCCGCTTGCTCAGAGCGGTGTGGAGCGAGGCCCTTTCGGGTGGCGGTGTTTCAGCCGGCCCGCGCTCCCTCGTCTGGGGGCCCGTGCCGGCGCACTGCGCATCCAGATGTCCGGAGCAGCCCTGTGGCGCTCAGGCGCCGCCCGCTCGTTCAGAGCGGCGTGGAGCTAGCACTTTCGGGTGGTGGTGCACGGTCGGCTCCCTCGGCTGGGGGTCTGCGCCGGCGCACTGCGCATCCAAACATCCCGAGCAACCCTGTGACGCTCAGGTGCCGCCCGCTCGCTCAGAGCGGCGTGGAGCTAGCACTTTCGGGTGGCGGTGCACGGTCGGCCCCCTCGTCTGGGGGTCTGCGCCAGCGCACCCCGTACCTAGATGTGCCCAGCAACCCTGTGACGCTCAGGCGCCGCCCGCTCGCTCAGAGCGGCGTGGGGCTAGCTTGCATTTTCGGGTGGCGGTGCACGGTCGGATTCCTCGTCTGGGGGTCTGCGCCGGCACACTGCACATTCAGATGTCCCAAGCAACCCTGTGACGCTCAGGCGCCGCCCGCTCGCTCAGAGCGGCGCGGGGCTAGCTTGCATTTTCGGGTGGCGGTGCACGGTCGGATTCCTCGTCTGGGGGTCTGCGCCGGCGCACTGCCCATCTAGATGTCCCAAGCAACCCTGTGACGCTCAGGTGCCGCCCGCTCGCTCAGAGCGGCGCGGAGCTAGCGCTTTCGGGTTGCGGTGCGCGGCCGGCTCGTGCTCCCTCGTCAGGGGGGTTCGCGCCAGCGCGCCGTGCATCTGGATCCTGCAACGCAGGTTTCAATGCAGCCTGTCGGCTGTCTGCCAGTTTTCTGGCGCCAGCACGCCCAGAATGCCACGTTCGGAAAGCGCGACCGGCCCAGACTTGCATTCAGAACGCAACGAATCACATCCTGAGCATGCTTCCGCGTTAACGCCAGCGCGCGTGAACTTGCATGCTGAGCCCGATTCGCATGCTCAGCGCCCGAGCGCTCAGATTCGCCATTGGCGCCCAGAATCATTCATTCAGCTCTGCCCGCCCGCAAGCGCCGCCGGGCGCAACTCCTTCGGTATGCTGAACAGTGCGCGGGCGCCCCCCAGTCTGGAGTCTGCGCCAGCGCCCAGCGCCACGTCTTTTCCGCCAAGCGTTTTCGTCACGCTTATGTGCCGCGCGCTCTTCTTCAGAGCGGCGCAGAGCTTTCGACGCGCCAGGCTCCGTGGTGTACAGGCGGCGGCCGCTCCCTGCTTCTGGGGGCTGCGCCCACGCCGCGTGCCTTCTGCCGAGCAGCCCTGTGACACTCACGAGCTGCTCGCTCCTCTTCTGAGCGGCGCGGAGCTCTCGACGCAGGCTTCGTGGCGTATAGTTGGCGGTCGCCTCCAAGGCGGTGTCTGCAGCCAAACCGCGCGCCTCCTGCCAAGCAGCCCTGTGGAGCTCAGGTGCCGCGCGCTCTTCTTCAGAGCGGCGCGCAGCAGGCTCGCGCAGCGCTCCCTGCTTTGGAGGTCTGCAGCCACGCCGCACGCGTTTTCTTCCTGGCACTCTGTGACCCTCAGGTGCTGCGCGCTTCTCATGCTTTGCCGCGCGCTCTTCATCAGACGAGGGCGGAGCTTTTGACGCGCGCTCGCGGTGCAGTTGGCGGCCGCTCTGTCCTTGGGTGTCTGCGGCAACGCCGCGTGGCTTCTGCCACCCCCGGGGCCGCGCGCTCTTCGTCTGAGCAGCGCGGAGCTCTCGACGCAGGCTCCTGGCGCGCAGCCGGCGGCCGCTCTCTTGTCTGGGGGCATGCGCCCACCTTCTTTCGAAACAACTCAGGTGCCGCGCGCTCTTCTTCAGAGCCGCGCGGAGGTTTCGACGCAGCAGGCTCATGGCGCCCAGTCGGCGGCCACGCCCTGCTTGGTAGTCTGGGTTCACGCCGCGTTCCATGTACCAGGCAACCCTGTCACGCTCAGGTGCTGCGCGCCGCGTGGGGCTTTCGACGCAGGCTGCAATCCCCGTCGGCGCTGCGCCCAGAATTGCATTCTGAGGTCGGTTCCCCAGCGCCCACCGCCCAGGCTCACAATGGCGTGTCAATTTCGCCTTTCTGGCGCTGACGCGCTCAGATTCCAACTCATGCAGTGCAGCCCTCTCGCGAGTGCAGCGTTTGGCCTATCACCCTGTGCTTGCTCAGGTTGTGGCAGCGCGTCATTCTGCACCCCGCCTGCCTGGCGCAGTGCAGCGCCTGGCCACGGTTGCCAACCGCGTGCAGCGCTCCATT